CGTAAAGTAACTAGAACGAAGTAAGTAATATATATATATATATATATATATATATATATATATAAATCCTTTAAGCTTGTTATACAATCTGAAATTTTTAAGTGACTAAAAAAAAACAGAAAAAGTAAATGAAAAGAAATGGCAGTATTATGTTCCGAGCCCACAAATTCCTTGTGTGTCCTTAAAGAATCTTATCCCCTCACTGTTGCCCAAGGTTAACGGATAAATTCTTTCCGGTATAGAACGAAACTTCCAACTTAGCGGTAGCGGCACTTCAAACCACTAAGTTATCTGCGAACTCAAAATAATGGTGAAAATAACACGACCTTGACTTACTTTGTTTTGAAAGTAATGATGCAGAAATAAGAAGGAGATGAAGCAGAAGATTTCAGGATGAAAAATTCTGAAGGAATGACTGCTTATTTATAGCCAACGAATTCTGGATTGAAAAGGTGTGGAAGTGGTTGTTCACACTGTAGGTGGCTATTCGTGAAATGCAACCTCTCTTTGGTGGCTATTCGTGAAATGCCACCTCTCTTTGGTGGCTGTTTAATTAACGCGGGAAAATTAAAGACGGAAATTAATTAATTTAATGTTACAAATAACGGTCATTCAAAATACTAATATAAAATATTAATATTTAATTAATTAATTTCATTTTATTGGTCCAAAAAATTAAGTCAATCAATCATATCAATTGACCGAATCCGAAGCCGAAGCCGAGCCGAGCGAGCGACGACGACGACGGCGCGAGGCCCCTTCCTCTTTGCTCCTTTTAAGAGCTTAAGGAAGTGCTTCTATATTTAAACCCAACAAAATACTTGTCTTTAACCAATGAGGGACAAAGTGCAAAAACCAAAGTTGCCTTTTCACCTTCTTTCCTCATTTCCCATTCACACTATCACTTCAACCCCAACAATCCCCCACATGAATGGGGAATGATGAACATGAAAAAAAAAATTTGTGTGATTCGCAACTAAGGACTAATTGCATCGGGATAAGTAGGTTTTCCTTTTGAACTTTCCGTAGTGAGCATATATCGGATATACTCGGTCAATCGGTAGATTTGATATCTTTGAACCGTCGAGCTTTAGTGTATACCTAGACAACATATGTCACACAATTAATCCTTATCCATCTTTTGGTTCTCATTGTTGTGTTCGTTTTAGCCATGAACACCGCCTGGTTTGATAAGTGCATAGAGAATTGGCCTTACAACATTCTCTTCGAAGCGACTTACACTTCACACTTATATAGGTGATTCCTAAACGTGTTATCCCGTAGATACACTATTTGATATACCCCATATCAAACTTAGAAATCATTAAAAAATCCTAACACTTTATCCTTGGTACTGAACATTGTCTGCATCACGAGAATGGACCAAAATTTTATTTGACAATGTTGAACCGTCACTAATGACTTTGTTTGATCTCCTTGAACCTAGATCTTGGGATCTCCAGTCTTCTAGGTAGAGTTACCGCCATAGTGACTTGTCCTCGGCCATAGTCCCATTCCCTTTGATGACTTCTCAACTCCCTCTCTAGTTAGGCCTTTTTGTAAGCGGATCCGCCACATTATCCTTTGATCATACATAATTAATAGTGATAATTCCACTAGAGAGTAGTTGTCTAACGGTATTATGCCTTCATCGAATGTGACGAGATTTCCCGTTATACATAACGCTCCCAGCCCTTCCTATTGCTGCTTGATTGTCGCAATGTATGCATACAGGTGCCAAAGGTTTGGGCCAAAAAGGAATATCTTCTAAGAAATTCCGGATCCATTCAACTTCTTCACCGGCCTTGTCTAAAGCTATAAACTCAGACTCCATTGTAAAGCGAGCGATGCATGTCTGTTTGGACGACTTCCAAGATACTGCTCCCCCACCAATAGTAAAAACGTATCCACTTGTGGATTTTGTTTCCGTTGATCCGGTGATCCAATTTGCATCACTATATCCCTCAATAACTGCGGGATGATTATTGTAATGCACTGCATAGTCTTGAGTATATCTCAAATTCCCAAGACTCGTTTCATTGCTATCCAATGAGCTTGGTTGGGATTACTTGTGTATCGACTAAGCTTGCTTATTGCACAACCTATATCAGGTCGTGTACAATTCATAATGTACATCAAACTTCCCAACACTCGAGCATATTCCAATTGAGATTTTCTTTCACCTTTATTCTTTGCAAGAATATGGTTTAAATCAATTGGCGTTTTTGCTTCTTTAAATTCCAAATATTTGAACTTTTCAAGAACCATTTTAATCTAATGAGATTGAGACAAAGCTAGACCTTGAGGAGTCTGTAGGATCTTGATTCCCAAAATTAAAGTTGCAACTCCTAAGTCTTTCATATCAAATTTACTAGTAAGCATGCGCTTAGTAGCATTTATGTTAGCAATATCGTTACTCATTATCAACATATCATCCACATATAAACAAACAATGACTATTTGATTTGGAGTATTCTTAATGTAAACACATTTGTCACACTCATTGATCTTGAAACCATTTGACAACATTGTTTGGTCAAATTTCGCATGCCATTGTTTTGGTGCTTGTTTTAGTCCGTAAAGTGACTTGACAAGTCGACACACCTTCTTTTCTTTTCCAGGGACTACAAACCCTTCAGGTTGTTCCATATAGATTTCTTCCTCTAAATCCCCATTTAAGAAGGTCGTCTTTACATCCATCTGATGGATTTGAAGGCCATACACGGCAGCTAACGCTATTAACACCCGGATAGATGTAATCCTTGTTATCGGCGAGTATGTGTCAAAGTAATCAAGACCTTCTCGTTGTCTAAACCCTTTAACAACTAATCTTGCCTTATATTTGTCAATAGTACCATCAGCTTTCATTTTCCTTTTGAAAATCCATTTAGAACCCAAAGGTTTATTTCCCGGAGGAAGATCAACCAATTCCCAGGTATGATTACTTAATATGGATTCTATCTCACTATTGACTGCCTCTTTCCAATATTGTGCTTTCGAGGAAGAAATTGCTTCTTTGAACGCTTGAGGCTCATTTTCCAATAAGAATGCCAGAAAATCTGGTCCAAAGGAAGTAGCTATCCTTTGACGTTTACTACGTCTTGGATTTTCTTCATCAAACGTACTTTCCTTTGCTTCTTCCCGAGGTCGCTTAGATTTTTCATTAGACGACTCACATTCCATTTTATACGGATAAATATTCTCAAAAAATTCAGCATTATCCGATTCAATTACCGTATTAATGTGAATGTCGGAATTTTCTGATTTATGAACTAGAAACCGATATGCCTTACTATTTGTTTCATATCCTACGAAAACGCAATCAACGGTTTTTGGTCCAATTTTTACCCTTTTGGGTTTAGGAACTTGCACTTTAGCCAAACACCCCCACACTTTAAAATATTTTAAGTTAGGTTTCCTTCCTTTCCATTTTTCATATGGAATGGATTGTGTTTTGCTATGGGGAACTCAATTCAGTATTTGATTAGCTGTAAGAATAGCTTCCCCCCACAAGTTCTGAGGTAAACCAGAACTTATTAATAAGGCGTTCATCATCTCCTTTAATGTTCTATTCTTTCTTTCTGCAATTCCATTAGATTGCGGTGAGTAAGGGGCAGTTGTTTGGTGAATAATGCCATTTTTCAAACATATTTCTTCAAAAGGAGATTCATATTCCCCGCCTCTATCACTTCTTATCATTTTAATCTTTTTGTTTAATTGCGTTTCAACTTCATTTTTGTATTGCTTGAATGCGTCTATTGCTTCATCTTTACTATTAAGTAAGTAAATATAGCAATATCTAGTACTGTCGTCAATAAAAGTTATGAAATACTTTTTCCCACCGCGAGATGGTATTGACTTCATGTCGCAAATATCCGTGTGAATTAAGTCTAAAGGATTTGAATTCCTTTCAACTGACTTATAAGGATGCTTAACATACTTTGATTCCACACATATTTGACATTTCGAGTTATTGCATTCAAACTTAGGTAATACTTCCAAATTAATCATTTTTCGCAAAGTTTTGAAGTTGACGTGGCCTAAACGTTCATGCCATAAATTATTTGACTCAAGCAAGTAAGAAGAAGCTGAAATTTTATTCATATCAATGGCAATTACATTGAGCTTAAAAAGGCCCTCAGTCAGGTAACCTTTTCCTACATACATTTCATTCTTACTAATTACAACCTTGTCGGAAACAAAAACACACTTAAAGCCATTCTTGACTAGAAGTGATGTTGAGACTAAATTCTTCCGCATTTCAGGAACATGAAGAACATCTTTTAGAGTCACAATCTTTCCCGAAGTCATCTTCAAAGCCACCTTGCCCGTTCCTTCAGTTTTTGCAGTAGCGGAGTTTGCCATAAACATTATTTAATCGGGTCCAGCGGGAGCATATGAAGTAAACAACTCCTTGTTAGCACAAACATGTCGAGTTGCTCCTAAATCAATCCACCATTCTCTAGGATTTCCGACTAGGTTGCATTCTGAAAAAATGGCACATAGGTCGTCTATTTCATCATTCTTCTCAATCATGTTTGCTTGTCTTTTCTTCTTGTCCTTCTTTGGTGCACGACATTCAGTAGCCTTGTGTCCAACCTTTCCACAGTTGTGGCAATTACCTTTGAACTTCTTCTTGCTTGGATAATTCTTTGATCCAGACGACTTCTTTCTCTTTTTACTCGTTGAAGCTTCCTCAATAATATTTGCACCCATTATTGTTGAACTTCCACGATATTTCTTTTCAGCAGCCTTGTTGTCCTCTTCAATCCGTAGACGAACAATAAGGTCTTCAAGCGTCATCTCTTTGCGCTTATGTTTCAAGTAATTCTCAAAGTCCTTCCACAGCAGAGGCAGCTTTTCACTAAATGCCGCAACTTGAAACGCTTCATTTTTGACCATACCTTCAATCATAAATTTATAATTAGTACAATAATTAATATCTTGAATAAAAATATTGACTCGTTTTATACCTTCAGCAAGGAGGTCATGAACAATAACTTGCAATTCTTGGACTTGCGTTATGACAGATTTACCGTCAATCATTTTGAAATCCAGAAATTTGGCGGCCACAAACTTCTTAAGTCCAGCATCTTCAGTCTTGTACTTCTTTTCAAGAGCATTCCATAATTCTCTTGATGTTTTCATGACGCTATAAACGTTGTACAAGCCATCTTCCAGCCCACTTAAAATGTAATTTTTGCACAGAAAATCAGAGTGCTTCCAAGCCTCAGTAACAAGGAAGCGCTCGTTGTCAGGGGTTCCTTCAGGCACGACTGGAACATCCTCTTGAATGAACCTTTGCAGACTTAGAGTGGTTAGATAAAAGAACATCTTTTGCTGCCATCTCTTAAAGTCAACACCAGAAAATTTCCCCGGCTTTTCCGCTGGTGGCATCGCCGTTGCAGGTGCAGTAGGACGGCTAGGACCTGGCATCCCCGAAACTGTGTTAGCAGTAACAGTCACAGCAGGTTCAATTTGTTCCTCTCCATTAGTCATTTCTGTCAATATGACATAAACAGATTTAGTAAATGGTGAAGTATTTAATCCTTCAACCCAAAACAACACAGTGAAGAGATTATTCTTCAAACTGATTAGGAGTAGAAAACCACGAAGGTTTTAGTCTCCTTAGTCACTTCGAAAATCAGAATAGTAAAGATATATATATATAAGACTCTTTAAGCTTGTTAGACAATCAGAAATTTTTAAGTGACTAAAAAACAGGAAAAGTAAATGAACAGAAATGGCAGAATTATGTTCCGAGCCCACAAATTACTTGTGTGTCCTTAAAGAATCTTATCCCCTCACTGTTGCCCAAGGTAAACGGATAAATTCTTCCCAGGATAGAACGGAACTCCCAACTTAGCGGTAGGGCACTTCAAACCACTAAGTTATCAGCGAACTCAAAATAATGGTAAAAATCACACGACCTTGACTTACTTTGTTTTGAAAGTAATGATGCAGAAAGAAGAAGGAGATGAAGCAGAAGATTTCAAGATGAAAAATTCTGAAAGAATGACTGCCTATTTATAACCAACGAATTCTGGATTGAAAGGGTGTGAAAGTGGTTATTCACACTGCAGGTGGCTATTCGTGAAATGCAGCCTCTCTTTGGTGGTTATTTGTGAAATGCCGCCTCTCTTTGGTGGCTGTTNCACTTCGAAAATCAGAATAGTATATATATATATATATATATATATATATATATATATATATAAGATTCTTTAAGCTTGTTATACAATCTGAAATTTTTAAGTGACTAAAAAAATAGAAAAAGTAAATGAACAGAAATGGCAGAATTATGTTCCGAGCCCACAAATTCCTTGTGTGTCCTTAAAGAATCTTATCCCCTCACTATTGCCCAAGGTTAACGTATAAATTCTTCCCAGGATAGAACGGAACTTCCAACTTAGCGGTAGCGGCACTTCAAACCACTAAGTTATCAGCGAACTCAAAATAATGGTGAAAATCACACGACCTTGACTTACTTTGTTTTGAAAGTAATGATGCAGAAAGAAGAAGGAGATGAAGCAGAAGATTTCAGGATGAAAAATTCTGAAGGAATGACTTCTTATTTATAGCCAACGAATTCTGGATTGAAAGGGTGTGAAAATGGCTGTTCACACTGCAGGTGGCTATTCGTGAAATGCAGCCTCTCTTTGGTGCCTATTCGTGAAATGCCACCTCTCTTTGGTGGCTGTTTAATTAACGCGGGAAAATTAAAGACGAAAATTAATTAATTTAACACTACAAATAACGGTCATTCAAAATATTAATATAAAATATTAATATTTAATTAATTAATTTCATTTTATTGGTCCAAAAAATTAAGTCAATCAATCATATCAATTGACCGAATCCGAAGCCGAAAGCCGAAGCTGAGCCGAGCGAGCGACGACGACGACGGCGCGAGGCCCCTTCCTCTTAGCTCCTTTTAAGAGCTTAAGGAAGTGCTTCTATATTTAAACCCAACAAAATACTTGTCTTTAACCAACGAGGGACAAAGTGCAAAAGCCAAATTTGCCTTTTCACCTTCTTTCCTCATTTCCCATTCACACTACCACTTCAACCCCAACAAATATGTTACCATGTATAATACGTAGGATTTAATTCAAATATATAGATTGTCAAATTAATGAAATCTCACATATTAATACAATTTTACGTATGTTTACCTCGAAAATACGAGTAACAATCAAATTTGATTTGTGGTTTTAAAGATATGTGATTAGATTCAATACCAATTAATAATCAAGAAAAATGAAGTAGAAGTGGAAGAAATAAGTGAATCAAACCAATGTAACACAGTTGCAGTGACCTCGAGCTTAGTGTCCTCGAGGTGGGCTTAGAACAATAGGAACAATTAAGCAAGAAAAGTAAAGTAAGAACAGTAGGCAAAAAGTAGAGAGTATATTCTTTTCTCAATGATTAGATGATGTTACAAATGATTGGGGTCCTCTTTATATAATAGGGAACCCGTAAACTAAGGTATATTTCTATTTACTGTAAGGAATATTCTGGTACAGCTGTCTAACCGCCTTGTACGGAATAGTACAATCCTATTCCGGGATTTGCGCCGTGATCTTGGGGACGTGGCAGGAATCTAGCCCATTCTGTTACAAGTCCATAACGGTACTATTTCGGGGTCGAACATACTCGACCTCGGTATGAATCGTGCTCTACCTTCGAACTCGGGTCTGGTCCCACGAGCTCGAACTCGACCTTACCTGAACTCGGACTTTAGACGATCTCTCGAGCATATAGATCGAAGTCATATGATCTCGACCGTATATAGATAGTCCCCGCGTTTCTTAGAGTAAGACGATAAGAAACAATTTGAACCTCGTTTTCCAGGAGTCTTTAGTGATGACGTCGTTTCGGTGACGTATGCGCTCGAAGTGACCAAACCGTCCCGTCGATTCGCTTCCCCAAAACATTAAATGTACGCCAGTGCTGGTCGGCCATTAGCGTCGTCGAACCGTCGTCACCTTTCAATAAATATGGGGCAACTTCTTCAAATGATGGACTTTACTCTTTCATCACTTTCGCTCTGATTCTTCTTCATTTCTTTCCCTAATCATCTGCTTCCACCGCCCCTTTGAGTGTCGGAAAACGCCAAGTCCCCGTGAAACACCACTTTTTTTTTGCTACGGTATGTATTCTTTAGCTTAAAATCATGGCTAAAACTTCCAAAACGGTCCCCAAAAAAGAAAAGCGTCATCTTATTCTTGCTCTCAGCCGGCCAAACCGATGGTGCCACCGACTCTTTAAGAAATCACCCCGGCCCTTACGTGATTAAGAAGGACTTCAGTATTGAAAATCCCCCGATGTCCTAAGCCGATGTGAGCATGCATCTCGATATCTTAGTTTGATATCGGAAAAGATCCTCAAAGCAATAAAGAGGGACTGCGCTTGGGGAGACGAGGTCCTGGTTCTGATCCCGAGCCCCGAGGAAAGCATTACTACCCCACATGGAGGGGTTTTTAAGTGTTTACACTTACCCCTTCACACTGGGTCCCCTCGATTCGGTTGTGATCGACTTCTGCAAAACATACGAAGTCATCCTCGGCCAGATTCACCCCTCATTTTGGCATATCATGATCATGTTGCGCTACTTTTTCGAAAAGGCCGAGGGGTTGGAATTCACCCTCAACCACCTAATTCGATTGTATCGGCCCCATCTGTTTCGAGGGCTTATCAAGCTGCAACATCAAACAAAAAAAGCCTTCTTTGCCAGTAACGACGAAACGAAAGATCGAGGCTGGATGAGCCAGTTTGTCAGAGTAAGGACTTCGGATGTCATCCCTAGGGATAAAATGTCGTTCGAGAGATGGAATTTTAATTGTAAGCGGAGTTCTTTTTTCAAGTATCTACTCATATTTAGCTTTCACGCCTTTTAATGCCTTTATCCTTTCTGCAGTCACTGCCTGGGCGCCTCACGCGGTCCCCGACCTCGAGGATTGGGTCCAAAAGTTAGCTGCTACCTCTTCCTATGATGAACGCAAATGGCGTGAATTATCGAGGGGCAAGTGGGAGGCCAAACATCATGGTAAATTCCATTTCCAAGTCCCAGATATGTTTCATTCGCTGGTGGTGTCAACTTATTTAGGTTATTTGTGCAGGCATCGGAGATGTATCCGAAATGAGGCCAGCTCCGCCCCGGGAGAAGACTGTGTCCTCAACCCCGAAATTGGAGAAAGACAACAAAAGAAAAAGGGCTTTGAAGCCTAAAGATTCCCAGGACGAGGCGGTACCTGCCCAGAAGCCGAGGAGAGGACTCATTCAAGTGGACTTGGATTCAGCCATCCAATACCTGGAGGATGAAGAGAACGATGGGGGAGATTCGACGTTGGTACCTCGAACCAGGAAACCTATCACAGCCGTCAATGCCTCTAAACATGATGCCTTGACACTAGATGAAGGGACTCCGAATAGAGACTTAGAAAAATCCCTCGAGTCCCCCGAGATCGAGATTGTACCTCCTTATTAAACAAATATACCGAAGGGGACAAGCCCAGCTTACTTCGAAGAGACAATAAAGGATTCACGGGCTTTGCAAACACCTGATCCGAGCAAGATCCTCGAAGAAAACCCTTTTCGGGATTGTTTCACTGGGGTTGGCGACGTTGCTGACCTTAACGGTGTATCCACCCTTTTCTAGGAGGCTCAGCGTCTTCATTCTCAGGTAAATATAACTTTCATTGTCATAACTTCCTCTTCCATTCCTTTCCTTTGGCTGACACATCTTCATCTTGTGTATAGGCCATCGCCAAGTTTAGAGTTGAGCTGAGCCAATGTGAGGCCGAGCTCAGGAGGGTTTCAGATGAAGAGAAAGCCCTGAGGCTCCTCTGTGGCCAGAAGGAGGAGGAGCTTAAGGACCTTCGGGCTGAGTTGGCCAAGGCTCGAAAAAATGAGACCGAGCTGGATGAGCAGGTAACTATGATTTTAACAGAGTATGGTCTTCTTGGCCTTACTTTGGAGGCTAATACTTCGATGTCTCAGCTGCATCAGAAGTTGGAGATTATTGGGCAGCTTCGGAGTGAGGTTGATCAAGTTAAGGCTGACTGCCATAGGTGAAAAAATAACACTGATCAGCTCGCTGCCGATAAGGAAGTTGTTTCAGTCCAACTGACCTCGGCTGAAACTCAACTCCAAGGTATTAAAGCGAAGGGTCTGGCCCAGTCCAGGAAAATCGAGGAGTTAGATGTCACGCCGCAAACCTGGGCCTGGACGTAACACGGCACTCGGTGCCTGACTACATGTGACCGAGCGAACCAACTGGCTGGCTGAATCAACATGTGGTATCATAACATACTGAATGCGGAAGATAAACTAACACATGCTGATATACTGAAAGTCTGGATGATGTAAATCGAAATACGGAAATACTAATACAATTCTGAAACATATTTGTAGCCAACATAGCTTAATATGAAAAGCCTGTGACTCTGTCTAACTGTTACTCTAGTCTATGAAGCCTCTAATGAAGTACTGAAAAC